TGGCTCTTGCTTTTCTCTGCAAATTGTGGGCTTGATGTGTTTACAAATAAGTGCACAAAGCCCCACTGCTGCCAGATCGCAGGGCACACAACACTGGCAGCTGCAGCACGCAGCTGTCCCTGCCCCGAGCACAGAGTGCTGCTGCCATGCATCCCTTTGGCAAAGCGTGCGCGCACACACCTGTAATCATGCACACAGAAGTCCAGTCCTGCAGAGGTGCCTGCAGTTGTCCTCCTTGCGGTAATATCCCTTGGCAGCCACATGCTCAGCTTTAGGGACAAGCACATGCTCATGCTCCTACCTATGCACTGCATTCTATTGGCAAAAATGCTGCTTCCCAAAGTGACGGCTGGTTTTTGCTGGAAGCTCTGCTCTAGTGTCAAACACACATATCCTTTATGCACAGCATGTATCATGCATGATCTGGGTTCACCATGAGCTGCCAGCTCTGCCCTCTGTTAGCTGATTGCTCCTTGGGAGGCCGGAATGTGACAGTTTTGGGTTCAGGGACACCAGAATCATTCAGGGAGATGCATTGCTGCCTGCCACATCCCACATGGAGCAAACGGGGGCTGGCAGGGAAGGAAGAAAGTAAACATATTGGTGCCACTGGAAATTAAGGGCAAGATCCCACGTCGCAACTGAGAAAGAGCTGATCAGCCATCTCAGCAGTCAGCAGGGAAATAAGCTGCTGGCATCACCGCCAATGTGAGACACATGCACGTCTTGCAGAAGAGATACATCTGTGCCATATTTGCAGCACAAGCTAGTCCAGCAGCACGTTAGTGTTAGGCAGTGCAATATTGTCAGCATTTGGGATTCGAGGTATCTCCTGTGCCCACAGGGTCTTGTGCCCACCCAGGAGGTTGACTGTGCTACGGGAGTGCAGCCCTTGGTGTCCTCCCAGCTTTGGGGACCCCGATGCCACACAGAGAGGAGCGGTATGCCCTAACCTGGTGTGCCTGGATGCTGAGCTGGGGGTTGGTGTCTGCAGGTGTCCTGTGCCTCAGCTGCTTTGCTTTTAATCTCTATCCTTCTGGCCAGTGCATCAAAGATGGTCACGACTCCAGACAGTGCCTGGCGCTGGCTCTCATTTCAACAGTGATTTGCAGACGCCATGAGCTTCATCTCTCCCTGTCACGACTCATTTCTTTCTCACTGAGGCTTTAATTTTTAAAGAGGTGCTCTTAGGCGCAGAGGTTTTAATACCTGCAGAGGCTCCCAGCAGGTGCAGCTGAGCTTTTCCAATCAGTGTTGATGGGGACAGGGGAGGAGAATGGCTGGGGCCAGTGGCATTGAGCCTGGAGTCCTCTCGTGCTCTTCTACCCAGAGTGAGCTGGGACAGAAGGAGCAGGGGGAGCCCCAGCTCAGAGCTGGGGAGGGGGTGCAGGATTGTCCCTCTGCCCTGGCTGCTCAGGAAGTGGGCAAAGAGGACAGGGACATCCCCAGAGTGCCTGAGATGGATGGGAAGAATTGGGTGAGAGCGAGAGGGGAGTAAAGAAAACAGCTTGGCCTTGGGAGCACTCCCTGCCCCGCCTCACAGCACAGTGCCTGATAAGCAGCAGTGCCCCATGCTGTTATCACTCGGCTCCAGGTACAGAGACGTTTGGGATGGGTGGGAATGGCCCCAACTGAATGGCTTTGTCCTCGCCCTGGGAAGGGAGAGCTTCCTCAGGGAACTGTTTGCTGCCAGCCAGGAGACAGCAGTGTGGGGGGGGATGTTTGCTGCAGGGCTGCTGCTCGATGCTCTGCTCCCTTCCCTCCACCAATGGTGACCAGGACGAGCACAGTGTGGTCAGCCCAGCACCTGGGTATGTTTGCTGTTTGGGTAGCAGAGCCGCTATTTGGATAGTGATAGGAAGACTGCAGCTGGTGCTTGCTCTGCAGACAACAGGGTGCAAGGTGCACATAGCGGGGCTGTTCCCAGGGGACGCAGTGGCCTAAGGCCCTCACAGTAGCATTCATGTGCGGAGTTGGTATCACACAGTGCCTGGCCAGGTGCAGCCAGCAGCACCAAGGCACCTTCTGGAGCAGCCCCCAGCCCGCCCCACATCAAGAGACTCGGCGCCCAGGAGCCCCCAGAGGCACCTTGGCTGTGGGTGTTCGCATGGGCTCCTCGAGAGAACTTTCTCCTCCGTTCCTGTGATTAATTCCTCCCTCCCACCATAGACGCCCGCAATCGCATCTGTATCGGTAGCTGCCCACTCCTCTTTGGCTCTGAAATATTTATAACCCCCCACAGTAGGGCTCTCCTTTCTCCTCGCCTCTTTTTTCTCCTTTTATGCCTTCCACCCGGGCTCCTGGCTCTGCTGAGCCGCACCAGGAACCACTTCATTTTCATATAACTTAGAGAGCGGGGAAGCTGTGAAGAATAATTTAGGTTTCGCTCAGGGAATGCAGTGCTTTTTTTAATTGCAGTCATCTGCAGCTTCTAAGCAATGTATTATTGATGGTTATTATTCAAATAAAACAGTCATTGCTTGTTTTCCCGTGGACGCAGTTGGCAGTGTTTATGGATTTCTTCTCTCTTTCTCCATTTCTGGAAGAGGTCACCTTTCATCTCGGATGTGTTCTGCCTCTGCTGCCTCTCTGCAGCTCATGCTGGGGGGCCGCAGGGCTGAGCTCTGCCTGGTGCTGCTGGGGCTGCAGAGCGGTCTATGCTTCCCATCCTCATCCTCTCACTGGAAAATACCAGCAGTGCATTGCTGGGGGGCTGACAATCAGTGCAGGGTGAGGGGATAAAGGGGTCTGGTCACTGCATGCTGGAGCTCAGTGTAGCAAAGCACATGGAGTGGAGGAAACGCCTGCATACGCCTATGCTAAGCAACGCCAGCGGGAACCCACGGCTCGGGGCCCAGCCATTCCCAGAGCTCTGGAGGCATGTTTTGGGGAGGGCCTTCTTCTCAGCTGCCTGCTGCAGACACTGCAGCACCACGGGGGGCTGTGAGGTGTCACAAAGGCACACTGCCCTGGTCAGAGCTGCCGGCACAGTGCTGTTCCCCATCCCTAGAAGGAAGGCACTGAAATAGGACTTGGAGAGCAGGGCTCCGCCACTCCCCGCTCCCCCAGGAGTGACAGCTTGCAAGTGACAGTGATGCGAGCGGTTCTCCCGTGCTGTCACTTCTCCCTCCTCCCTTTCAACACTACCCACCGCATTGTCACTCCCAGCAGCAGGGACTTTCCTCAGTCCCACCGAGGTCCCGGAGGTGTTACCGTGATGGAAACACCGAGTGCGAGGTTCCTCCTCGATGTGATGAATGAAACAAGGTCAGAACTGGAGGGAAAAATGTTCATTTTGAGGTAGAGCAGAGGATCTCCCTATCTCCCTCTGACTTCCTGGGGAGGGGACAGGGGTGCCCCCAGGGCCCCAAGAGGAGGCCTTTAAGTTGCACTCACAGTGCCATGCACATCCCCCTGGGCATCACCATGCCTCCGAACATGGCATCCTGTTACCCTGCACATGGGTGTCTGGGAAGAGGCAGCTCTCCCTCAGCTGTAGCAGATAATGGGGGTTTTCATCAATTTCGGGCTTGCCATCCCTCTGGCTGCAAATGGGAAGGCAAAGGGGTAGGGAAAGGAAAAATGATATCTGTCCCTGAGCTCCCAGGACCAAGGGCAGCTCTCAGCTCAGAGTGGAGGGCAGCCCTGAAGCACTTTGGGGATGAGTTCCCTAGGTGGGCAAACAACTTTGTCTCTTGATTGCACTCATAAAGGAGAACTGGGCCCAAATCCCTCCTGTTCCACCTGTTTTTTATTTGCAGCCCCCTCCCAACAAAGTGGCTGCTCAGTTACAAAGCAACCATGCTGCTAGAGCAGTTGGCAGCAGAGATGGCCTAGGAGAGCTTTATTAGCAATAGCGTAGCAGAGAAGCTCTGGGATTTTTCTGCCCCCCCCCCCCCCCCCCCCCAACCCGCAGCCATTGGGAAGCCCATGCTGTAGTTGAACAGCCTACAGGCAGCTGAAGGGGAGCAACCCTGTGCCCAGGATGGGACCAGGATGGGAGCATTCTGCAGCCCCTCGCTACAGCAGCACCCAGGCAGCCCTGCATCCCGCAGGACCGACCGCCAGCAGCTCACAGCAGAGCAGTGCTGGGGGTTTATTTATCCGTGAGCACTGAAAGCTGAATTGCGTTCTCTCTCTCTCTCCCTATATTTAGCTCTGAATGGAGAAAGATTTCACAGACGCTCTGCCTGGTGCTCAAGGCTCAGTCAGTGTTTCCATTAGAAACCCTGGGGTCCAATCCTGCTCGCTGCCTCCCGGCACAGTGACAAAACCTTCCCTGCTGACTCCAGCACAGCCACGCTGGATTTGTACCCGCAAAGATGAGATCAGGATCTGGCCTCAGGTTTTGATGGGTTTGTATCTTGGCGGATACAACTTGGCTGATTCAATTCATTTTGGGCTAAAACTCCACCTACAAGTTCCCAGCCTGGGAGACATTAAAGACAAATTATTATGAAGTTTCATACACTTTGTAAAGGAAAATTATCACTTAAGCCTAATTTTTACAGAATAACCTGGCAGACTGATCCTTTCTATTTCAGGGTACTTTTAGGTTACACACCGCTCAGGATTGCTTTCTGCTTTACTCACAGAATGCATGGCCAAGGAACAGCGCTCTGTCTTCTATAGAAAAAGAGCACCAAATCATGGCTAAGAGCAGAGGCTGCCAGCCAGCAGGGCTCCCAGTAGGAGAGGGTTTAGGAAACGTGATGCAGTCCCTCAGCTGTGAGCAGGACAACAAGGAGGGCTGAAGGATGGGGAGAGAAGGAGGTGACGAGAAGAGGGAGCAGAGCACAGGCACTGTCCAGGCAGCACCCGCACCTCCAGAGTGGGGTTAGCTCAGCATCAGCCCAGGGCTTGGATGACCCTGAAGCTCTCTGTGCAGGAACTCTCTGCTTGCCCTGCACCAGCACTCTGCTCACTTCTCTGTGGGGCTGTCTGACTTTCCTCCATGTGCTTTTCCTTAAATGTAAAATGGAAGGGGCTTTCAGCGTCAGTGTTTATGATTGCTCTTGATGTAATGGAAAAGCACCAGGCAGGAGCTGCTGAGCACCAGTGCTGTGATTGCTGGGCTGACACATTTTCCAATGGCTTTTGGCTGGTTCCTTCAGCTGTGTGCAAGCTGGAAGAGCCTCCCCTCAATTTCAGATGGAGCCCAAAGGGGATGCAAATTCAACAGGTTCCCCGAGGCAGGAAGGCTGATTTCCTTTGCGGAGTCCAAATCCAGATGGTCAGAGATTCCTTCCAAGATCAGAAAACCTGTTTTAAAAGGCCAGTATGTCTCAACAGCCATTCTGCATCCCATCCCTTTAGAAGCACTGTCCTTCCATCCAATTTTCAAGCTGTTCTGCAGTTGCTTGGACCAAACACGGTCAGTGCAGCCCTCTGTGCTGACTGTGCTCAGGAATGGAGGATGGCTGAGTTTGCTTTGAGGTACGAGACTTGCTCTTGCTGCGACAGTGCCCAGATTTCATAGTAAGGAACAACCAGCACCAAAGAAAACAGCAGTGATGAGCCCAGGCCCCTTTCCCCTGTCCTGCTGCTGGGCACTGGAGCAGTTTGGTGCCTTCCGTGTAAAGCCCCAACGAGACACTGTGTCTGTGCCATGCCTGATGCTCTGCAGTCGTTCTGCTGATTTTGGATAACTGTCCCTGCACTGCAACCCGGGGTGGCTGCAGGGCTGCAGGCTGCCCACTGTTGCACGCAGCTGTACAATCTGCTTGCAGAGCACTGCCCTGAGAGCTCAGCAAACAGACAAAGCACTCAGGGAGGAATCCCCTTGCTAAAGGCCCAAAGAGGAAACCCCCCAGGACTGTTCAGGAATGCAAAGTTATTGAGGTGTAGGCCCTCAAGGCAGGGGGAAACGTTACAAGCATTAAATAAGGGCTTGTGCATGCACAGATGTTACACTGGTTTGACTTGAACTGGGTTGCATGCCCAAACAACAGGATTAGTGCTGCGTTAAGGTTGCCTACACCCAGCGTTACACCAGCATGGCTGCATCGATGCCGTGTTACGTTTTCCTTACAGCCACTGCGTTTCAAGGGCTTCAGTTGAGTTTCAATGCATACTTTTCTCTTTGCTTCTATAATAAAAGGGGGGAGTGGTGGCTTTCCCTGGGCGAGGGGCTGTGATTCATGCTCTGCAGCTCAAGGAGCAGCTGTAGCCCTCCTGGGTTTCACCACCACCCCATGCTGCAGGGACAGCAGTGGCTATGTCCTATGAGTCGCAAGGTGGGGCAGACTCCCCCCGGCACGTGTCACCAACCACAGTGCCCACGAGGAACCCCGAGTGCTGCTCCAGAGATTTTGTGCCCCATGCTCGGGGCAGGGAGGACTTTTTGTGCATCCTGTTTTGCAGTGACCACACTGCCGGAGGGGGTCCAAGCTGCATGCATCATGGGGAGCAACCTATACTGCTTGAGGGAGTTTGCACCACTCCAGCAGGGGCTGCAGCGCAAGCAGAAGGGGGATACACAGACTTTGGCGGTGCAGGCGCTGTTCTGTACCTGCAATGCCAGGGATGGTGCATACAGTGCTTGGAGGTGCACCACCCAAGGGGGTGTCCAGAGTGCCGGGACTGCACGCAGTGCTGCCCTGCAGCTGCTCCTCCTAGAGGTGCACCTATACTGCTCGAGGTGGGGGGCACGCACGGACTACAGTGCTTGAAGGGGGGGGTCCACTGTCCCCAAGGGTGCATGCACAGACAGGCTGCTCCACGAGGGTGGCACTGCACAGACACGCACCTCCCGGGGGTACATCTGTGCTGTTCGGGGGGGCTGGGGGAGCGGGTGGTGCTTCTGGGGAGGCTCACAACGTATGGAGGTACACGTACCAACACCGGGCTTCCCCTGCACTACCCGACGGGGGCTCCTGGGGGAGAGGGGTGGTGTCCGCGGGGTACACCGATATCGCCCGAGGGGGGAACCCGCCCCGCAGCGCCCGGGGGACACAGCCCCGCCCGCCGCCTCCCGTCCCCCTTAAGCAGCGGACGGGGCGGGCCGCCACCTTAAGGCAGCCCCTCCCCCGGCAGGCCCGGCCCGGCCCGGCGCGGGTTGCCATGACAAGCATTTTCTCCCGCTAGCTCCACAGCCGTCGCCGCCCTCCTTATGGCCGCCCGCGGGGGCTGCGCTGACAGCCGGGACGGGGCGCCGCGCCGGTGAGTGCGGGACCGGAGCGGGGGGAGGGGGGAGTTTGTTCCCGGGTGCCCCCTCGGGTGGGGCGGGGAGGCGGCTGTGCTGCCTCCGATGTTCCGTTGGGGGGGCGGCCCGCGGAAGGAGCGCGCGGCTTTCGCCTTCCATAACACCGCAGCTGCTGCGGGCTCGTCTGTTGGGGGGGCGTCAGTTGGGTGGAAAGCACGGGGCCGGTGCGGCAGGTGGGAGGGAGCGGGGGGGGG